CCTTTTCCTTGAATGGCCAGGATAATAGCAGATCAAATTCACCTGGAACAACACAAACATTAAGACACAAGGACTCATGAAAGCCCTTGCAAGTCGCATGGATATTGAAGACAACTTTGATTTTCAGTTTGTACCCGTTTGGAGACAGATAAAATGTACTTGTTGAGAGTTCTGAGTCTCCTCTCGCCGCTCTGAGACAAGAATCGTAGAAATCAGAAATTTTCCACACAAAGGGGGGACTACTCAGGGACTTTAAATGTTGATCTTGAACTTTGACCCGTGCAGTCAGTCGCTCGATCTCCTGTGACTGATCCTCAACTTGACGCTGAGTAACCTCAAGGCTGCGGAGGGCTAAGTTCAAATGAACAGTCAGTCGCTCGATCTTCTGTGACTGATCCTCAACCTGACGCTGAGTAACCTCAAGGCTGCGGAGGGCTAAGTTCAAATGAGCAGTCAGTCGCTCGATCTCCTGTGACTGATCCTCAACTTGACGCTGAGTAACCTCAAGGCTGCGGAGAGCTAAGTTAAAATGATGTTCAATTTGTGTTTCCGTGTGAGCTCAAGTGTTTGATCTTGGGAACTGTGTAAAAGAAGAAATATCCAGAATAAAATGACGAGGACACCGGCTAAAACAACGCAGAAAAACAGGGGAAAATTGTAACTTTAAATTTATGGAGAGCTGGCATGACATCAATTGCAAAACTGATTCATGCGTTTCTTTGGGATCGGTAGTGAAGCATTTTTGTTTTTTAGTTTATGGACATGTGTTTTTTAATAAATTATCCATCATTTACTAGTTTTGCGCAACTCGTTACGCAAATCGCCGTCTTTGGTAGTTACAGGATCATCCTAAAATCTCCACCAAAAACCAATGAAATTTCCCGTTCATATCCGTACAAAAACTCTGCCCCTAATAATTTTTTATTCCCCATATTACACAGCAAAATTGTTGGTTAATTTCCTTACCCCGTGGGTTTCCCCATACTGACTTCCTAATAATTTCGAGAGATAATAATTTTTTTTCGGTAAGGAACGGATCTTAGAGCATCTTGAAGGCTTCTTTAAAAATTTACTGCTTTTAAGCAGGCCTATACCTCTGCTTCGCATCCCAGTTTCTTGAATTCGCAGGGAACCACTTTTGCAGGACATTCCTTGTCAATATGCCATGCTAGCTATAAAAACCGAGAAAAAAAATCAATTTGATGTAGCTTTAATAACAACACCGATTTGGATGTCATATAAAGCTATGGATAACTAGCTATCTTCACTTTAATCTCGCATAAACAGGGAGCTGACATCTATTAAAGAAGGAGAATAACTCGCAATTTTTTTTAAGTAGATTCTTCAATTCACATGTACCTTATAATTACTGTCGCAGCGACTTACTTTGTCGCTCACTAAGTTGTGTCAGAGATGACGTAATCTCACAGAAGTTACTTGCCGATCGCGCGAAATCCAAGTTTCGTGAGTTTCAAGTAAAAGTTTCCTTAACTAAGACTTGATACGTGATCTGTGTTAAAACAAACCTTATCTCGTGGAATATTTCCCAAGCCACACTCGTTGGTACACGAAACAAGAAACTTTTGGCAAACATCTAAATGTTTCTGAAAAACAGCAGACAGAATGGTTGACCTAACTTTACATTTCTCACAGCGGCAAGCTATTTACTCAGCACAGGTTCGAAAAAATATTACTTTTTTAAAGTTAATAGAAATGATTCCGAGTAAAATTTGTAAAGAAACAACAAAAAAAATTCATGGGGGTAAATTCCCTTTAATTTAAATTATTGTACATGCCTATACCTTTCTTTCATTTAAGACCAAAGATTCTTGACAATTTTCACAATTTATTTTCCTCCAAGAACAGTTAGATGTCACATGTGCCTTCATGTCTTGCTTGGTAAGTTTCTCTGTACATCCTGAGTTTGGACACTGCACAACTCGTAACAGGCATTCTGATTGATGTTTCTGTGGGTTAATTGAACCCATATATCAGCAGAAAAGCAATCAGAGTTTCAGTAATAACGAAGTAATCAAAGGAAATAATGTAAGTTTTCTTAAAAGAAAATATTAACAAACAAAAACCACCCAAATGTCAAACAGGTAAATATGCCCTTAGTTAAGGTTTCAACACGAGCCAATTTGAACAACAATTGTGTTACTAGATTCTCTGCAAGAGGAAGTAACTATGAAAAGCTTGTTAACAAAAATAGTCGAAATATAAAGTTTACATTGCCAGCAATCCCTATCTCTCATTTTAAGCAATAAAGTCTGTTGGCGGCCTTTGATGAGAAAACTTCTTGGGAGGAAATTAAACATCCTTTTTCGCAAAATAACCTTCACTGGTAACTTGACCATCGAACCTGACGGAGTTACGATAATAGTGCAAAATGGCGCCACTTTACAAATTTTAGCAACTATATATGAAATGTTTCTCAGTTCCAATTAATTTAAATTCCTGTTTTACTATAACAAAAGGCAAATTCCATAACCTATATTTTAGAATTACCCCGTCAAACTATAGGGAACATGTACCTGAGAAGTGGAGGGCTATCCAAAAAAAAGTGAAAAAAATTCGAAGAGATATCCTTCGATTGATTTTGCTTGACTGAGCCGATCGTTTGGGAAGAAATAAAGAAAGATAAGAATTAAAAATGATCAATTTTTTTTTTAATTGAGGGCACTCGCACATAGCTCAAGTGCGTTCAGTTTGCCGCCCGGATTTACCTCAACTGCACGTAGTTCTCCTGTCCATGGACATCCAAAATGAGAACACTTCACGGCCAGATTCAGGATTTTGCGATGACAAGCAGTATCACGAAATATCTGGCAGAGTAAATAATGATTTGAATTAACCTTCTGTAATTAATCTTTCTGGGGGCAGGCCACGATCTTCATAATACAGATGGAATTCTGTTACATCCAGCTCTGGATCAGCTACATGATTACGAATTTCGATGAGACAATTCACAAAGATTTGGTACTTGTTTACAAACCTTATCGCGTGACAATGACTGCCTGTCCGCTGGACACAATGGCGAAGGCCGACTGGTAAGAAAAACTCAAAAGAATTAGCGAAACGCTCTGAGTTTATAACATTAGTGTTTAAGTTTCACATTGGACATTGTACATGTGAGTCTAATAGCAAAAGGTAGCAAATGCGAAATGATGAAAAATATGCGCAAGAACAGAACGTAATAATAACCTTTTTCACACCAAAATACTTCAATTCAATTGAAATATTACTCATTCTCACTCACACGGATATCTCCGTCAAAGTAAAATTTATGTATTGAATATGAGATAATTTAAGTGTACGTCAATTTACTAGTCTTTCAGTCACATTTGATCAAATTTTCTACTCATAATTGTCGCATATCAAGAACATGCTATCCTAAAATGTTATTCGGCCATTACCTAAACAGTGATTCCATACAGATGTTACAAAGTCTGTGCCCACATTGTACAATCTGCACTGGATCCTTCATCGGTAACTGACACACAAGACATTCACAGTCATCAGGAACTTCGCCTGTAAACTCGTACTCGTATCCGCGAAGTTCTGGCACATTCTGGCGTGCCGCCATGTTTAGTTCCTCTTTGTAGAACGAAGCAGGAATCTTGTTTAGTCTTGCGTGACACAGAATTGTGTAAACAGAAACCGTTTCTGGCGTTATACTCATTCCACGACGCTAAAAGTTGTCTGGAGTAAACCCTTGAATATTTTGAACATCACCTTATCTTGTCAATCATGGAACTATTCCCTGAGTCGTAGTAGTCAGAGAATCTGGCAGAAATCAAACGTGAAGACTGCGGTGGTGCAATTTTTTTTGCGGCCCCCTGACCGTGCACAATATTTTGTTTTAGCGTTAACGAATGATCACATAATAAATTAATGGGAGATCCAATTAGTCAATCATTTCAAGATGATTGGGATGCTTTTGAAACTACGCGCTCAATCGGGTGCTAAAATTTCTTACAGATATATACGATAAATAAATCTGTGAACTCTTGGCATAAAATGAGAAAAATTAAAAAATAACAAAGATCAAAAATTGAACTGTAACCAGGATATGACATAGTGAAAAAGGTAAAAAACGTTCTCTGGTTAAAAAAGGTTTTAAAATATGAGCTTTCGGCTATTATACTATATTATACTTACAACAAAGATCGTCAGGTGGAAGGAAAGATTTTTTAAGTTGTTTGATCAATATGATAGTGAATCGTACTGACTTCTATGGTCGAAATGAGTTTGAGTTTTCAGAAAAAGCCAGAGTAAACTGTGACGATAAAGTTTTCCGCCCCAAAACTGGAGGACTGAATCTTCGCGACGGAACAATAACAACTGGGGGAACTAACTCTGTAGGGACGACTTGGCAGCGAGAACGGAAACTCGTCACGATTTCCTGGTACACGGAGACCTACTTCTAGTAAGCTTGTACGGACGTCAAGGATAAGACAATCTTTGGTTCCACAGTACTTTTATTCTAGGTCAGGCCAACAAGCGACATGACCTCTAGCATACTCTAGTTTGTAATCATCAAAGCTGTACAAGGTACTTGCTTAAGAAGTAACTGGTGCGAAGTGCTATTGTTACACAAATCGCAATATTTGAATAAGGACACAAAGGAGCGGAAAAATATCTCTTTGAAGTTAAACGAAAACTACTTAAATATTCCATCTGTTTCTACGACGGATAGAATCTCAAAATTAAAAAGACGGATGCAATAAACTCTAGGCCATTAAAGTAGGAAACCTAGGTGCGAATTTACAGCTCTGATATAGAAAACAATACCTATCTTAATTGCAGTAGCGCAGCTCAGGAAATAGAAAAACGGAAAAGCAATTAAAAGTTTCTGCTTATTTACGCAAGATTGGTTTGGAAACCATTGCATGAAAAGAAATTAAATTTACGCGTTTAAACTCAGCTGCTATCTACCATGAAAACCAATGTTTCCAGAAAGACCATTAACACTTATATTTACCTAAAAAAAAAAAACCATGAATTAAAAAACAAAAGTGCCGACAACCAGGTGCATATGATGAAAGCGAGTAACAACAAAAATCTATTCAAAAGCTACTGTGGTTTTTATGCATATTTTTGATTTATTGAAATGAAAGGACTTGAAATGGTTAAATGTAAAAGTTTACGAATAAATATGCTCCGAATAACACACACGGGAAAATCAGTAAATTTTCCCGTAACAAAACATCGTTTTTGCAATCAAGAAATTACTTAAACGACTAGGCAATTACAATGATTGTTTCCTTCCCATTTTTAAACCACAGCTGGAGAAGTCAATACCTTGCTTACTTACTGACCTCTACGTGTACTTGAACACTCAGCAAGTAAGTTCAACAAATCTAAGCACCCTCTTGTAACCTTCCGTGCCAGGAAATTAGCAAAGGCTATTCTAAAACAGGTGGAAGCAACTTTTTGCAGCTTTTTGCAGGCAAAGATGTTTAGTTCATGCCTACAGACTTGACCACCACAACAGAGGAAGCTTTCCATCCTATTGGACGGGCATCATTTAGACTCTCTATCGGAAAAGAGGAGATATCCAGGCAGCTTAATTGAAATAAGCTTCTGTCGATGGTTCACCTGTGCATGGTATGCTCTGGTGGAGCTGTTGGAATACCCAGGATCCTCTGTATAGCGGACCCTTTTAAGTTACAAGATACTTCACGAATTCAGTTTGCGATGCATTTTTGTCAAACATATGTAATATCTGCGTAAAGATGTCATTGTGAGGTAGATCGATGTAATCGTCAAGGAAACATTTCCGGATTAAACTTAACTAAATTAAATGTCCTTCTTCCCCTTCTTCCCCTTCTTCCCCTTTTTATACGATTAATTTTAATTTTATACTGCTAATAGGGCTGAGTTGAATACAATTCGGCCTGTAATCATGCGAGGGATTGACCGTTGAATCGGACGACACGAGTCATGTCACCAATTAATCAAAACTAAAAATTTGAGAAAGTAATTTTACATCTGTCAGGCATTTTGATAAAACTTAAAAACAACAGTTATTAGGCGAAATGCGCGACAACATATGACGCAAACTGTCCACCAACTCAGGTATGACGTGTCAACTGTCCAATCACATTGTTTAATTATAAGCACGACGCGTACACTCACCCATTAGTGCTCAAATCGAGCTGCTGATAACCAATCACTTTCAAGAATTTTGTTATGTTTTTATTATTTACTTTACAGTCTTATCAGATGTTGATTAGAATTCTTATGGATAAAATGCAGCACTCATTTTTCAGATACGACCTGACGACAATACTGAAAACAGCTTACCGACAAATCCAAACGTAAACAGAAATCCAACAAGGACTTCACTAACTCCACCAAGACTTAACAGATACCTGACAACTACAAACTAGTGTCATTTCGCTTTTTACAAGTATTCCACTTCAATAAAGTCCCAATCAACGAGTCAAAGTCTAAAGTCTTAACGATCACCAGAAAGCGCCTGGCGTCTAAGATCAATAATGAACTTGTCACAGTTGTCACAATAGGCCGCGTAAATGTAAGAAGTGCAACATTTTTAGGTTTAACAATCGACAGTTCACTCTCATTTGATTTTCATATTGAAAATCTTTGCAATAAGCTTTCCTCGTGCATAGGTGTCTTGAGTAAAATAGAACCTTTCTGTCACTTGAACAGGGACTGTTGTTGTACAATGCCATCATTCGCCCAGTAATGAGCTACGCTGACGTCATTTGGTCATCATGTGACATGGAACCATTTTACAGAGTCTTGAAATTACAGAAGCGTGCAGCTAGAGTCATTTTATATGCCGACCGCCTAGTACTCTCTGTGACACTTTTTAATAAGCTGGTATGGATACCTTTTTATGAACAGAGTAAAATTAACAAATTTTCTATTTCCTTATAAGCGCGTAAATGGCTCTCTTCCGAACTATCTCAATGAAGACTTAACGATTAACAATACACAACATAACAGAAGCAAGCGTTATGCTAACAATAATTCTATCTGTCCTTATTATAAGCGTGAGACTGAAGGAGGCCGTTCTTTTGCTGTATCAGCAACAGGACTTTGGAATAATGTGCCTCTAAATATCAGAAAATCAGACTCTGTTAAGTCCTTAAAAACTCATTTAGGTTTTTAACTTTTATTATATCATATTTGTATTCATCGATTGTAATTTTATTTTCTGAGGGCCACAAGTTTATTAGCCCTTGGCTATTAAGTGTCAACCCTGTTTAAATAAAGTCTCTATCATCATCATTATTATTATTATTATTATTAATATTATTATTACCGACAGACTATTGGACGAGTCATCCTACAGCCCAACATCACACAAAGCCACAATTATCAGGGCTCTAACGCGACGATCACGAATCACTTGCAGGAAGTGATGATGATGGGAAGTTTCCAAGTGTCTTAAAGACGGATTAACGTAGCAACTCCCTACAGTCAGGTAACATCGCTGGTTCCCTGAAATAGCTATGACCAGAATAAAATCAACGGTTTCCCTTGGAAGCCTTCACAAGGGGACAAGCTTCACTCAAGAAAGATAGGAATTGTACCATCGGACAACGGGAGTTATCAGCGAGAGTGAAATTCCGAGGTGGGTTGAGCCTAACAATTTAAGAGAAAAGTAACCATGGCTGAAGTTCGAAAAAAAGACTGCGTGTTCACGAAAACTTTTTCTGACAATGACAATGCATGAAACAGCCTTTGTGAACGCGGGAACTGTATGACAGATAAAAAGCCTGGGCATGACTATAATGTCGGTGGTTAATCAGGAGAAAGAAATGTAGAAGAGGCAATTGGAAACTGAGATCAGAGAGCTTCAAAAAGACTTTAGCAGGATAGAATTGAGAAGGAAGGCAAGGGGTTAAGAATATCATATGAAAGATTTGGATGGAAAGTACAGCTTAAAGAATAAGACCTTAAAATGCTTTAAAAATTTTTTTTTAAATATAGTAAGAACGAATTATAGTAAAAGCGACGAAAATAATAGTTTCTAAGATAGAAAAAAACTGTTCAAGCAAAACAGGGTCTTTAAGACAGATCAGGGAAGACTTATTGAGGTGTCCGACGCCACTGACGAGGCTCCCGATTCAGATGCGACATTCAAATTCTGGACTGGTCTGTTGAGCCGAAACTAGGAGTATAAGTGGGATGGGGAACATTTTAAGAAAATAACAGAGAAAACGTTAGCTAACAACGCAAAATAACTTGTGTTATCTTAAAGGCTTACCAAACTTGCGGCTGGAAATTTTATTAGTTTACACCTCGCATTGCCCAGCAATCGTTAGTCTCAAAAAAAGAACACGTCGTTTGTTTGAGTATAATTTCCTCAAAACACTACATAAAACAAAATAGTAAGAATTCCATTGTTGTTTATCTAATATTATACTTTATCAACTTCTTGACTAAGTTCTTAAAAAAACATGCAGGGAGCCTACCTTAGCACCTCAGCCGGCAAAATGTTTGGATGTCAGCCCTAAAAACTAGATCGACTGCAACAGGTCGAGGTTTTATTGTAAACTTTCCGCGTAAAAAGTATGAATGAGCAAACACGGTTTTTTTCGTGGTTAGACTTTTTTTTTCGGCTTTCTCCTCCTTTCAGAAGTTGCTACTAGTAAAGTTTTTGAATAACGCGCCATAAAAACAGCAGAAGTCGGCCTATGAAGAACTCAGTCAGTAGTTGTCTGGGAACGAAGTTGAAGTTTGATTTTTTCAAGTTTATTCAAAGTATTAAAAATTTCTTCCCAGCTACGTGAGAAAAAGAAACTGCTATGATTTACGGTGCAAATTCAGTCAAACGGGGATAATACGATCAAAGCCAGAACTCGCAGGTGGGTTTCAATTCCTTGTTGGTTCGGAATTTAAGGCTGGTTTTTGAATGAAATGACAAAATAACGGAGTTTCAAAATCAGTAGAGCACAAAGAAAGAAAGGTTCAGCTTCTTCATAATAAGGTAGTCGTATTGACGAGGTAGTCGCACTGACTCTGTGTTGACTTTACCTCTATTCGCACAGCTCGCGCAAAAAGTAAAGTTCAGTTTTCTTTGCTAACAATTATGCAAATCGTATCGTTCATGATATATGATCGTGTTCGTAAAACTTCATGACGAATATCAATGCCAGAATCAAACCGGTCGTCTTTCATTGATTTAGTTACACGTTCTTTCCTTTTCTCAAAGTTCAAAATATACGTTATGTCATCCCTCTTATCTTTGCATGGGTTTTGATAAATCAGCGAAAGGCGCACCTATTTAAGAAATGGCCAGGATAACAACGCATCAAATTTTCCAGGCTCTATCCTGATATAAAGAGACAAGAAACGTTCTTTGTGAAATATTACCAGTTTGGTACGCGATTTGTAGCCATTCTCGGACAAATAAAATTTTTTCGCTTAGTAAAATGCTTTGGGGTGAAATCCTCTGTTTGCTCTGTTTAACACGGCTTGGAAGTTGGAGATTTTCTAAACAAAAGGAGCACACTTCCTTGCCATCATTCTGAGCATTTCTATCTGCTGTGTTTGTTCTTGAACCTTTTCCATCAATTGCTCCATCTCCCTACACTTCTCCTCATCTCTGTCAATTAGCTGTTCGATCTGCTTTGTCTTCTCATCATCTCTGGCAATCAATCGCTCCATCTGCTTTGACTTCTCTAGATCTTCGGTCTTCATTAGCCATCAATTGCCCCATTTTCCGCGCCTGACGGTTCAGATGGCTAACAAGCTCCTGGAATTGATGCTGTGTGGCTTCCAGGGGTATCCGCTGCTTTCGCCACCTATCGAGTTCGCCCCTTCGAGTTCGCTTCTACCTTATACCGTGTTCGCCCCCACACTTTTCGAGTTCGACCCCACCAAGTCGATTGAGTCATGCCTAAAATTCTCTTTATCACAAGTTCAGAGTACACAGTTATTTCTGGTAACCCCAGATCCCACGCAGAGTATTTAGTTGATTCCGTCAACCCAGTTCCCAAGCAGGTTCCACGCAATTGCCGAAATTCAAAATGGTCGTCGCTGACGTGACATTTGTCACATTCTGCTAGTGCCTTCGTCACAAATCAAGTCATCTGGATATCGCTCAATCAAGGGGCGAACTCGACTTGATGGGGTCGAACTCGAAAAGTGTGGGGGCGAACACGGCATAAAGTAGGGGCGAACTCGATAGGGGGCGAACGCGGTGAAATTCCTTCCAGGCTGCGAACAGCCAAGTTCAAATGTCCTTCCACCTAGGATTCCGAGTGAGACTTGGCGTTTGGTCTTAGGAACTGCGAAACCTCGCGGCATTTATCCACACCTGTGCGTGAGCACACTTTCAAGTATTCACATAATTCTCCACAATGTCGCTCTCTATGTTCTGATGAGTGATTTAGCATCTTAGATCACGCTTCCACAACTTTCCAACTTAAAATCAAAGAAGCTATCCACATTTAACGGGAGCAACTTGCACTTAATCATTAACTTTATCATGTCAATTTAAAAATTTCCTTGCAATTGCATACATTGTTCTGTTACTATTGTTTGGTTGGCCAAACAGCATTTTGTTATACACTTTAAATTCAGCTTTAAATGTGTGAAATCAGAACTGAAGATGACAGAAGAACTGTCGAAACATTAAAAAGTGTCATTTATTTTCTTACTACTATCTACTGCTATCCAAATTCACAAAGGGAAGTAAACGGGCTTGTGCGAGAGGAAATAACGATTTACCTCGCTGGTCAGCTCTGATTAAATTAAAAGCCGCTGTTTTGATAATTTGAGCACAACTAATGAGTAAAAACTACATCTGCAGTGAGGGTGGGTCACACTTTACAGGGAAATCGCGTAAATGAAACCTCAACAGGAAATTGCGCGATGCTTAGTCAGTTCAAGTACTTGCGTACTACTCTTTTTGCACCATTATGAAAATTGTATCACTCAGTTCAAGAGATCTAGAGAGGCCAAAATCAGGGCCGAGTACGACATGCCACCTCTCGTTATCTTCATTAAGAGGCCTCATTATGGGCATATCTAAATTTCCAAAGTCAGTTACGCGACATATATTTTTCTCCTCATCCTTGCACGGGTTTTGATTAATCAACGTTACTCGTACCTTTTCCTTGAATGGCCAGGATAACAGCGGATCAAATTCCCCTGGAACAACACAAATGTAAATAAAAAAGGATAGTCTACCGAACGCCTGTTTCGCATTAAAAAAAATTTTGATTCTCAGCCTGTACCCGTTTGAAGAAAGATAAAATGTGTTTGTTATAATTTTTTCTATTCCACTCGCTGCTCTCCTATAAGCTCGCGTGAAATTAGAAATTTTCCACACAAATAGAGGACTATTCAAGGACCTAATATGTTGATCTTGCACTTTGACGTGAGCAGTTAGTCGTTCAATCTGCTGTGACGTATATTTATCTTTGGCCATCAGTTGTTCAATCTGCTGTGACTTTTTCTCATCTTTGGCCGTCAGTTGTATAATCTTCCGTGATGTTTCTTCATGTCTGGCCATCAGTTGTTCAATCTGCTGTGACGTATCTTTATCTTTGGCTATCAGTTGTTCAATCTGCTGTGACTTTTTCTTATCTTTGGCCGTCAGTCGTTCAATCTTCCGTGATGTTTCTTCATGTCTGGCCATCAGTTGTTCAATCTGCTGTGACGTATCTTTATCTTTGGCCATCAGTTGTTCAATCTGCTGTGACGTATCTTTATTTTTTGCCATCAGTAGTTCAATCTGTTGTGACTGATCATTAACCAGACGCTGAGTGGTCTCAAGGCTGCGAAGAGCCAAGTTCAAGTGTTGTTCAATTTGTGTCTTCGAGTGAGCTTTGGTGTTTGATCTTGGGAACTGTGTGAAAGAAGAGAAATGCGGCATAAAGTGACGAGGACAACAGTTAAAACATGTCATATTATCAGGGGAAACTAGGAACTTTACGGAGAGCTGGCGTAATATTACTTGCACAACTGATCTGTGCATTTCTATATATTATTTGTGCGAAATTTATCGGGCAAATCGTCTGATTAGCTATTCAATCGCCCTCCCAATCCTCTAGTGAAAACTACATACAGTTGCCTGCATCATATTTCTTGCCTTCATAACAAAGCAAAAGTTGAGGTGAATTTTCCCCACCTTGAAAGTTTTTCCTCTAACCTCCTCAGTAAAAAATTCCGTGAAAGGGGACACACGCGATAAGCAACGAAACTTTAAACAGCCAAGTCTCCTGTACCAAGCGTCTTAAGGCTCTTGATATTAACGTAATTGTTTTAAGGAAGCCTATACCTTTACGTCGCACCCCAATTTCTTGAATTCGCAATAAACCACAGTTACAGGACAATCCTTGCCAATGTGTAATTCCAGCTATAAACAATCGCCCTCCCAAACCTCTAGTGAAAACTACATACAGTTGCCTGCATCATAATATTTCTTGCCTTCATAACAAAGCAAAAGTTGAGGTGAATTTTCCCCACCTTGAAAGTTTTTCCTCTAACCTCCTAAAAAATTCCGTGAAAGGGGACACATTTTTCGATAAGCAACGAAACGTTAAACAGCCAAGTCTCCTGTACCAAGCGTCTTAAGGCTCTTGATATTAACGTAATTGTTTTAAGGAAGCCTATACCTTTGCGTCGCACCCCAATTTCTTGAATTCGCAATAAACCACAGTTACAGGACAATCCTTGCCAATGTGTAATTCCAGCTATAAACAAAGGCATAAGCGGAAACATAAGGGACTTTTAAATAAAGCTTTGATAAGAGCACTGATTTCGGTGTTCCTATGTAATGCCAAGGATAGTTAGTCGGCCTCCCTTTAATCTCTCATTAACACATATCCGACGTCAATTTTAGCAAAAGAACATCTAGCCGTTTTTTAAGCAGATTCTCCATGCCATGTGAAGCTTATTGTCATAGCCACTTGTCGCTTGCAATGACTCTGTTAAACAAAGTAGCTGAGTTACGTCAGAGATGACGTGATCTCTCAAATTTTACTTGACGATTGTGAAAAATCCTAGTAAACGTTTCAATCAGGTAAATAAAGGTGTCCTTTTCCAAATACTGCCAAGTGATTTGCGTTAAAACAAACCTTTTCTCGTGGAATCTCTTCTAAGCCACACTTGTTGGTACAATGAACAGGAAACTTTTGGCAAACATGGAAATGTTTCTGTAAACATCAGATAAAATGTTTGAATGTACCTTTACAGTTCTACGATGGCCCAGAAGGCTCAAACGCAAGCGAAAAAGAAATCGCAACTGAAAGAGAAAGCAAAAATGAAAAGAAAACGGAAATAATAAGAGAAACATGCTGAGGGTGGGTTCTAGTCAGTGTTTTAGCGCCAATTTTCACGTCGTTCGGTCTCTCCGACTGTCCGCCACGTTCTGTAACGAGTGTGGAGAAAAGGCATATAATAATGTAAACTTTATCTCAAATTGTGGTTCCATTAGTAACCGCTCAATTTTTTTTCCAATAATAGTTCTCGGGGACCTTGAACGTTTGGGTTATTTATAAAGAATTTAAAGGTTTGAAACTGAAGTTCAGTGACTTTTCACCATTTGTATCATAATGTTTCTCGCTTAACTTTTTACTAACGAGTCAAACGCAACAGTCGACATCCGTTTACCCAGTTTTTTTATTTGTTTGTTATGGTTAAAAGCTCACAAATCGACACAACAGAACTTTATTTGTATGTCACTCGCTTGCCTCTTTACTAACCTTTCACACGCGACAATTGACATCTGTCTACCGGGGTTTTAAACGGCCGGGTACGAACCAATTCCCACTGGGCACGAATCGATTTGGAAACGAACAACGCTTCCCTTTGTTGTTAGAGACAAACAACGCTTTAAGAGTCGTTCCTCAAGCATATTTCAATTATGACCATAGAATCGATTTCTGTGTAGTTGAAGTCTTCATGGTATTGTTAGAAACCAAGAAAAAGTTTCTCGAGCTTACGAAATGTCAGTGAGTTAGAAACGTTTACATACCAAACGAACAACGCTTCATTTTGTTGTTAGAAACGAACAATACTTTTAGAGTCGTTACTCAAACATATTTCAATTATGACCATACAATCGATTTCTGTGTAGTCAAAATCTTCATGGCATTGTTAGAAACCGAGAAAGAGTCTCTCAAGCTTACGAAACGTCCGTGAGTAAGAAACGATTACACAGCAAACGAACAACGCTTCATTTTGTTGATAGAAACGAACAAAGTTTCCCTTTGTTGTTAGGAACGAACAACGCTTTTAGAATCTTCATGGTGTTGTCAAAAGCAAAGAGCGCTTTAGTGATAAAAACTTCTCAACTTTATTGCCTATTTGCAGTCTGAAATTCTGTGTTGTTTTTTTTAGTATTTGTTTTTTCGAGCGACATTACTAAAATTTCAGGCAACATGACTCAGGTTTCGGGCGACATGACTCCGGACGACATTACTCTCGGGCGACTTGACTGTAAACCGTTCCATTCTTACCAAACCCTCATAATTTCAGACTATTACTAACTAGAACCCAGCGTCTGCATGTTTCTCTCGATATTATTCACATTCTTTATTTTTATTAGGTTTCTTTTTTGCTGCGTTTCATTTCAGTTGATTGCATTTTCTTTTTATTAGTTGAGTCATAGAAATGATTTCGAGAGCCTCGTGAATTTTCAATGATAAAAGAAATAGCTAACCCATGGGGTAAACTTCCCTTTCATTAAATGATGCATGATATTTGCATACCTTTCGTTTATTAAAGGAAACTAATGTTTGACAATATTCACAATGTATTATCCTCCAAGAACATTCAGATGTCACGTGGGTCCTCATGTCCTGCTTAGTAACTTTCTCTGTACATCCTGAGTTTGGACACTGTACCACTTTTAACAGGCAGTTTGATTGATGTTCCTGCAATTTTTTGGAACCCATATATTAACAGTAAAGAAGTAAAAGTCATAAATCGAGAAGAAAAGTGCAAAAAGTGAACAATGAGGTTTCTAGACGAACAAGTTACTAAGCTAATTTTAATATTCAGATCAGTAACTTTTGTATATAGCTTGGGTTCATTACACGAAAGGGGGCCATGAAAAGCTTGTATAACAAACACATTTTACCAAGGAATTAAAATGATCACCGAGCATTCCTTTCTATTTTCAAAAGTAAGATCTATTAGCAGTCTTTGATAAGAAAGATTTTTGGTAAAGACAATACATTCTTAATACAATACATTCAAAACATTAAATGGTGACGTGACCATCCAACATAATTCATTTTGATTGCCTCCGATTTTGTTTCACCGAGTCAATCATTTGGGGGAAAAAAGTAAGAGTGGAAATAATCCGATTTTCTGATTAAGGATAGAAGAACACAGTTCCAACGTGTTCAGTTTGCCTTTGCGTTTTACCTCAACTGCACGCAGCTCTCCTGTCCATGGACATCCAGAGTGAGAACATTTCACAGTCAAATCCAGGATTTTGCGACGACAAGCGGTATCAGGAAATATCTGCCACAAAGAGAAATGCTTGAAACATTACTTCATTCAAATAAAATAAGTATTGTGTAAATAAAACAAGTGTACAAAGCCGGCCTGAAAGCACAAAATGCTGTTGGAAAATCGCTTTATCCCATTTTGTGTATGCGACATGATGACTGATTTCGATGCCCGAAACCTAAAAAGTCAACTTGACTGCTGACATGGTTCGTTCAATAAGATAAAATTAATTCAAGCACTGTTCAAGGACTAAGTCTTATCAAAGAAATTTAAATCCTTCACCTTATGTTTCATGCCTATACAGTTTGATCAGTTAAAAATTGTTGGATGGATTAGCCTTAGTTAATCAGACCGTGGCATTGATCACATTTTATAAAGGACAACAGTCACAGGCCATTTGACGGCTTACACCTACGTCCAACGTACAAATATCGCAGTACTGAACATATGTAGCTCATATAAATCACAGCAACATATCTCAGCAAGCCTTCTAGAAGTCTCAAAAAACCTCTAGAGTCTTCCCTTTTGCTGCCTTCTATAAGCAGTGCACTTTATGCTAAGAGTCAGTCCGTTTTTTCTGCTTTTAAACAATGAACCCTGCCAGAATGTTAGCAGACAGTACGTCGCTAACATCGTCATCTGCCCGCAGAAACGAACGATCTAAAACTTCATTACTATTTGCTTCTATACAACCAGCACAGGTATTCTTTCCGTGTTCTTCACCTTTCATGAAAGACTTTAAATCACTTTATACCATGTGTTTTATGTCGATCATTTTGATACAAACTCAATAAAAAGCCTTACATTTATCACCTTTAAGTTCTTTCACGCTGGTTTCCATCGCTTATCAACTTAAGACTAAGTCGAAATTTGCCCATCTCTCCATCAAATTGTAGACGACGGAAAATTCAAAACAACTCTACACGTTTATACATAGTTGGCCACGATTACCCTGTGGAAAAAAACCGCAAGGCGGACAATCCCACATCACAGGCCTGGTACATGAAACTGTGGCATGCAAAGATCCAAACTGTGCTTCGTGTAGACGTTGAGGCCTTTTATAAACCATCATTTTAACGGGCTATTTCTCGTTTGCGTACAAATTTTCATCAGAAAATGATTTAATTTCATCATACAGGACGTCCTCGATTTCGAGGTCTTTTTAAGACTTAGAAATAAGAAATCAAGCACTTTCCATTGAGCTCAACGAAATTTAAGGTCATATGAAGATCATTGATAAAATTCAAAACCCCTTTCAAGTACAAAGCATGTCAGCTGACTAACCTGCTCGCGTGATAATGGCTGCCTGTCTGCCGGACACAATGGCGAAGGAAGTCTGACGGAAAGAAACGCAGTGGAAACAAAGAAAAGATTGAACTAGAGAAATAGCAGTGTTAAAGCTCCCAAATGGTTTACGTGAGTCTTATATTGAACTGTTATAGGCTGAGTTGTGATGGATATGTGCTAAAAGAAAGCCTTACTAAAATCGTTGAAACCCAATAAAACTTCAAGTTAAACATTGCATCTTCTCCCTCAAATTACACAGACATCTCCATTAGAGCACAAACTCAGATCGTAATTATGTGCTAACAGATAAGCTTATCAACTTTCTTATTCTCTCGGTCAAACTTAGCTCAAATCTTTTTACATAGCTAACGCTTAATTAGCATTCTTCACGCCACAGTAATAATATTGTTCGGCCATTACCCAAACAGCGATTCTTTACAACTGCTGCAAAGCTTGTGTCCACATTGTACAATCTGTACTGGATCCTTCATCGGTAAGTGACACACAAGACATTCATAGTCCTCAGGAACTTTGCTTGTAAACTTGTATTCGTATCCGCCAAGTTGTGGCACATTCTGGCCCGCCGCCATGTTCAGTTTCTCTTTGAATGCAAAACAGGAATCTCATGACAGGACGGAAAACGCGTGCACTGTAAGTACCTCCAGTTGTCCCATACAAAGCCTTAGAAAACTTTTCTAAGGCTTTGTATGGGCTTTTTTTCTGGAGTATCTGGTAGCTCTCCAGGTTGCTTCAATATGCTTACCGCAAGGCGTCATAATCTCGTCACTTTGTGACAGAAATGTCGTTTAACTGAAAGTGAACCAGAACACCAACAGACCTATAAATGTCTCAATTTTCCGATGAGGGAATGTTAGGCATCAATGACACGTCATCGCTTGTCAAACTTTGTCAGTAAACATGACTTCCACTTACGTAATTGGCACAGGATATACTACTACCGATGAGGGAATAATAAATAAATCTGATCAGTCTGTGGCAGGTCGGGTGATATTGAAACGCGTGGAAAATGCATTTTACATTTAAAAAAACTTTATACTTGGAGGATTTCAACTGCTTTTTTTTTTTCTGGTAGTCCTTGCATAAACCTTGTACCCTTTTTCATCCACATTAATTCTTCGTAGTTGTACATTCACTTCGAACAAAGCTTTCCGGTTAATTTTTATCGTTTCATCGCGTTGAGATAGGCCGCTGTCCACTAGAATTTTCTACAACATTATATCGGTATGGAAACGCGGGCACAAACTCAGCCACAGGGAATCGAGTACCGAAGGCGATCGCCAACAAAAAGCGCGCGCTTGGCGCGTGCTTGGCAAAGTAATCATGCCACGACGATCTCGGGAAAGTACAATCGAAGAAACACGCAGGATGCGAGGAAACGTAAACGATTGTCAAGGACAGCTAGGGAAAGGGAGAACAGAGAAATGAAAAAGGAAAGAGATGCATATTCTTGGCGCGAATGTATTATGGCAAATGGAAAGCATTAGTCGAACAGAATAAAAAGACCCTGGACAAAACCAAGGTAGGTACTCGGTTAGCGTCAAAATAGAATAAAATAGGTATCAGAAAATGAGCAGTTGGTTATGAAAAAACGATATCACCGAACTGAAGCTGAACGTAATCAAACTAGCATTGTCTTGCATTGTACAAAACGTCCTGAGATTGACTTCAACATAAACTCATAGGGGGAGGGGAGAGTGTAGCCCTCAAAATTTGTCTCCTTTTTATGATGAAATGAAAAAAAACTACAATCATTTTCGTAAAATAAGGCAAAGAATCCCTATTTGAAATTGCCACATTCTGAAATGATTTAGCGGGAATTCATTCATTTCTGTTTGCCAAGCAGACAGGCAAAACTTTCGTCTGAAAAAGACAGTCATTGAGCTTTGAGCATTTCCCCTTCCATCTTGCCATGTAGTGTTGATCTTGCCCTACCAAGGTTACCACAGATCAAAAAATGGCCAGGGATAGAAATTTCAAGGTCAGGGAAAAGTCAGGGAAATTAAAGTTTTTACACCGCTGAGTTTCATACCATGCTGGAAGAAATATTTCAGATGATCTCAGCAATTTTTTAATGAAGAAGAGGAGACTGGACATTTTGTATCCATTTCATCAGGGAAATTTTATTTTTATCATGGATAGGTCAGTACCTTAATAGTCAGGGAATTTTGGAAAGTTCTGTTTGTGGCAACCATGCCTACCCTCTGTGTATCTCTATCAACAGTGTTAGAGTTAAGTCTAAAATGAATACATAAAATACTTGAGGTTGTTTAGGATACAAGGAGAGACTTAAAGAAGGCAAATGAGCCACAGTTTATTATATGAAAGGGATAAAGTTTACCAATAAATCTATTAACATAGGAATTACAATTTCATCGATTGTGATTAGTTTTAAAAACTCCTATTTTCCACTAATTCACTTGCCAAGTTGTTGTTGGACAGTTCAATAAGCCAAATACATTCAAAGTTGTAGTTTAAGTCAACCAATCACATTCAAAGTTGTGGTTTAAATCAGTCAATCACAACCTTGGTTTCAATCACCATAGAAACAGTGTACAGATTCCTAAATTGGGGCTTTCTTCAAAACGGAGAATTGGTTTACCTTGAGCAATGACAATATTTAAGTGTTCTTTTTAATTTGGAAATTGTAATTTTTATGATTAATTGGTAAAAGGACTTTGTGTCATTCGTTTCGGTCTGTAATCATACTCGTGATAAACAAATTGTACTCCCACTATGCAGTCGTCTGATTTTGTTATCACTCATATGATTACAGACCAAAGACTACTCAGTCCTATTACCACTTATTACACAATCTAGCATGTGAATCTTATTAAGCTGACCAGCTTCACTTTTCCTCTGTTTATTACTTTATTCCAGATTAGAGACAGGAATACAAAATCAGGACCACCCAGTAGCAAATTTGCCACTGTTAATTTAATTGATCCATCTGAGCTTCAACCAATCAGTGAAAAGGAATTAATACTAGGACAGAGTTCATATGGCCGGTGCATTTTAAAATCTTTCAAAAGATTAAACGTACTTGTGGTAGAAAAACAATGTCTGATGCAAAGCACTAAAGAGATGGTAAAGGAGGCACAAATCATGTAGACTCACACACCCAAAAACATTCCTGCAATAATAGGAATCCAGCTTGAAAGAGAGCCTATATCTCTAGTGATGGAGTTCAAAGGGGAAGAAAATACACCTACAACAGTCAGTAAACTATTGTATTGCAAAGAATTCAATGGTATATTAGAGAAAGTTAACAGTTCACTGACAAGCAAAGACTGGCTGATCATTTGTCATGATATCACAGATGCTCTCGCTCACATTCACTCCAAAGGCTTTCTTCATTGTGGTCTCAAATCAAACAATGTTCTTGTAACTGATAAACATGGCCAAATTATAGACTTTGGAAAGGCCTGTGACAGTTCATTTCCCCCTGCAAAGAAGTACACTTTTCACCATAGGCACATTGCTCCTGAAGTTCTGAATGGCACCCAGTATTTACTTTTGTGAAGATATTCAAGAAGTGTATTGCTGGATGGGGATGACAACAAGAGCCACCTGGCTTTTTTTTCAATTGAGGACCTTCCTATACACAATAGTTATGACCAGTTTCCCTACTTAAGAACATACTGTTCTATAACATAACCTTTCTTGCTAGTGATGAAGGCCTAACCTTGTAGTTTAGGTTGCAAGAAACTTACAAAGTCACAATATGTTTCTCAGCAATGTTTCTTAGCTTTTTGGCAGATTGCCCTTAAGTTGTTAGATGAATTGATTAGATGACAATTTTCTTCACCGACTTTATAGCTCTGATCAAGGAAAATATATGAAAAGGTTTTGTCTAAGATAGGCTTCTCCTAATTGTTCTCACAGCAATAACATTCAGAACAATCAAAACAAAAAGACTTGAATAAGTAAATAACTAAATGAATAAGTAACTAACTAACTTACTTAAATATGTACACATTTTTAAAAAATAAAGTCAACCAGAGTTGAAATTTAGTTAAAAGATATTTGTTTCTTGGTGACAGTGGCAGCTATTATGTTAAATTACAGATGCAAAAATTTAGCAAGTGTTTAACTCTAGCAACGTTTTTGTCAGAGGAAATACTTGCTAATAATGATCCACATGTGAAAACATGAAAATCATATTAGGCATGTAATTTAACCTCAATACTTTTCTTCGCACCATTTGGCAGCCTTTTTTTAGATCCCTAGCCCATAGAATTTCCATCACCTCCCATCGCTTGGGGGCAACTGATGGCTATGGATAATTCTGGATCAGCCAAAATGACACATTTTTGCTAGTTTGCTGATTCCTGTCAACAGAGACAAATATCACCTTGAGATGATCAATTTTGGTTGGAAACAAAAAGAAAACTGCACGTAGGCTGCTGGTGGAAACCCTCTGTATTAGTCTGCCCTCTTCCACAGTTAACAGCGGGATTAGGGAAAGTCACACCACAGTAAATTAAAAACAAAAAAAATTTATCACAGAAACAGTTCCAGCAGCACAGAAAGGCCACAATGTTGGATGGATGGCCAGGTATACAATTGGAAAATAAATTGCAAAATGTGTACCAGCATGTTTGTGTTAATCCCATATTATGAAGTATGAGTTGTTTTCAGTGACTCAGTGTCAAATTTTATGGTATAGTTTTCTGTAATAATAACTAATTATCATCATATTGGCTTTCCATTGTTAGACATTAATGCCAATTTCTTGACCAATTGGAAGTAAAACCAAGTATAACTTGTTTGCATATCTAAAAGTAAATAAACAAAGTTAAAACTGGGTGGGTTGCCTTGAGAACCCATCTGTTCTGGTGTGTTGTTTTCTGAGTTCTTAGAAATAAGTGCACACTATCTTAACTCTGGTGTAATTTTGAATATCAGAACCCTGAAGAATAGCCCTTACTAACAGACCTGGTGCATGACACAGTAGTTTGGGTGTGTTTCTATGTGACCAAATGATAGGCTTTGACCTGTTTTGAGACTTATCCGTGTCAATGGTACCGTCCATCTAGTGTGTAAACATAGTACTTTTAAATGAATTCAGTAGACTTATTCATTTGATCATTATCATCTGCCACACAACTGTGTTCCCTATTACATTAGTGTTCACTGTGAGATCTAGAATGACATAAATATAGGCAAAAATGGTGTAATAAATTATTTGAGCCCAAGCCTTCTTGTAGTTGAAATATTGGGAAAGAAAGGAAGAAGAAGAAAATAATCAAGAATAGAAGAATTAGGCATATGCAAGATAACATTCTGTTTCCATTGTTACTTTAGCAAATCAGTATTCCTGTTGTGAAGATGTCACATCTTTTATCAACAGGACTGCCAAGATGACTCATCTTTTTGCCAGTTTCTGTTTGCTATTGTAACAATAACTCTTGCAGTCCACTGGCAAAGGCCAAAAATTAACTTAGGAATAAAACAAGGATGCTGTGGCTCAAAAAACTTTGTATTAGGACACTGCCAGCTTGAACCTAGGAGTCAGCATTTAGGCTTTGAGTTTAAGCAGAGACTTTTCCCTTTTTCTAAAACTTATGATCTATTTGCAAGCATTTTCACAAGCCAAAGCCAAAGCCTTCTCTTAAAATTAATGATTGAAAAACCAAGTTATGTTAGTTAACATTTTCTTTCAATTATTAAGTTTCATTGTAGCAACTTCACCTTCACCGAACCTCTTCGCGCCAAGTGGCACAGAAGGCATCATCCCTGAAA